TGTATATATTTGCCCAGGGCTCAGCACTTTACTAACCACATAGCAGGCAATTAATAAATAAATGTTTTTTGAGGGACTAATACTACTATTTTTTTATTTTGTTATTTATTTCTTCTCTTNTGTATATATTTGCCCAGGGCTCAGCACTTTACTAACCACATAGCAGGCAATTAATAAATAAGTGTTTTTTGAGAGACTAATACTACTATTTTTTATTTTGTTATTTATTTCTTCTCTTTTTTTGTTANTTTTTGTTCTCTTTTGCTACTCAGTTATGTGGTTAATTCAAAATTTCCCTACCTCTTCATCCTCTTGTTTTCATTTGTTTTCTTTTACTGCATGTTTTTTCCTAAGAAGTATTTCTTTATTCTTTCCTTTATTTATCTTCTCTTTCNTCTTTTGCTACTCAGTTATGTGGTTAATTCAAAATTTCCCTACCTCTTCATCTTCTTGTTTTTATTTGTTTTCTTTTACTGCATGTTTTTTCCTAAGAAGTATTTCTTTATTCTTTCCTTTATATATCTTCTCTTTAAATCTCTTTTAAATTTACTGATTTATGGGCTATGACTTTACTTTTTCTTTAGTCGTTTCACATCCCTCATTGGGTTAAAACTATCAGGTATAAGTTGCCACTCCTCTAGCCAATTTTTCCATGTTTTTATAGGTTTTGCTCCATCCTTCCTTCTTCTCCTTTGCTTCACTTTTAGAAACAGTAATTTTAGAGAGAAATCAGTGGTATGGGAGAAATTATTTNTCACATCCCTCATTGGGTTAAAACTATCAGGTATAAGTTGCCACTCCTCTAGCCAATTTTTTCCATGTTTTTATAGGTTTTGCTCCATCCTTCCTTCTTCTCCTTTGCTTCGCTTTTAGAAACAGTAATTTTAGAGAGAAGCAATTTTGGACAAAATCAGTGGTGTGGGAGAAATTATTCCACATCTTGTATTTATATGGCCTAATCTTTCCCTTTGTCCACATTCTGATCAGTTTCCCTTCCAAGTGCTGTTCCATTTCATCCCTGGCTCTATTTGACAATTCTTGGTTCCACTTGCCTCCAGGAACTTACAGATTTTTCTTCCTGAGATAGATTATTGCTCTTGGAGGCAAAGTACTCTCTCAGAGCAAGTGACTTGCCAGTGTGCAGACAGTCCTCATCCCATACTGAACCGTGCATGAGTTTTCAATATCTGATCCAATGTTCATACCTATTCCTTCATTGGAGAAATTTTCAGTAGGATTTTATTCAGCAACTGCTCTCCGTAGGATGAGTTCAGCGATGTTCTGTTAAATAT